ATCAGATGCTATTATGGATGTAACACAGTGGTTGCATTCTACCTGTGACCTTGTAGGACATTGGGATGGGTTGGATGGAGAAGCTGGAGCTGCTCCATCCCTGGCCCAAGGCCAGCTTGGAGCATCCTTTAGTAGAAAACGTCCTTCTAGAGGAGAACATCAGATGCTGCTATTATGGGATGTACCAAAGTGGTTGCCCTCTACCTATGACCTTGTAGGACATCTCCCTATAGGGAGTGAGATCTTCTCCATTGACCAGCAACAAGTGAGGACACATCTCCATGGCTTCCTTGAGGGACATCAACTTCTTCACCCCATGGCGCCGGGCTTCATAGTTACAGGTGACCATGAGGGACTTCTGCTGCAGCCCTACAACAAGGAGGGCATTGCCTTACAGCACCCATAGAACTGGACATAGAGCACCCATAGAACCCCAGCACCAATAGCAGCCCATGGCACGATAGAACCTCCAGCACCCATAGCGCCCACAGCACGCATAGAACCTCCAGCACCCATAGAGCTCACAGCACCCATAGAACCCCCAGCACCTATAGAAACAACAGCAACCCCAGAACTCCCAGCACCACCAGTACCCATAGAAAACCAGGACCCACAGAACCCCACTGAACACCACAGAACCCCCAGCACCCATAGCACCCCATCACCCTCAGCACCCATAGAACCAGAGCACCAATAACAGCCACAGCACCCATAGAACCCGCAGCACCCATAGAGCTCACAGCACCCATAGAACCCGCAGCACCCATAGAGCCCACAGAACCCACAAAACTGCCAGCACCCATAGAAACCCCAGCACTCATAGAACCCACAGCACCCACAGAACCACCAGCACCCATAGAACCCCCAGCACTCAGAACCCACAGCACCTATAGCAACCTCAGCATCCCCAGCACCCAAAGCACCGCTGCACCCACAGCATCCACAGCACCTCCAGCACCCAAAGCATCCATAGAACCACAGCACCCATAGCAACTACAGCACCCCCAGAACTCCCAGCATCACCAGTACCCATAGAACCCCAGCACCCAAAGAACCCCACTGAACCCCCAGCACCCATAGAACCCCAGCACCAATAGCAACCCCAGCACCCACAGAACCCGCAGCACCCATAGAGCCCACAGCACCCATAGCATGCATTGCACCCATACCACCCCCACCACTGCCAGCAACCACAACAGCTCCAGTGCACCCAGTCATCCTAGCACCTAGAGAAACCCCAGCACCCACAGAACCCCCCAGCACCCTCAGCACTATATAGCTCCGGTATCAGGGTCCTAGTGCCCGCCCGCTGCCTCCCGCAACGGTGTCCTAGTGCCAGCCCGACGCCTCGCGCATCAGGGTCCTAGTGCCCGCCCGCTGCCTCGCGCATCAGGGTCCTAGTGCCCGCCCGCTGCCTCCTCCCTGTCAGGAGCTGGTCCCAGTGCCCGCCCCCTCTAGCGCCGGAATCAGGGTCCTAGTGCCCGCCTGCTGCCTCCTGCCTGGCAGGGACCGGTCTCAGTGCCTCTCCCCCCCCCCCCCCCCCAATAACTCCGTGCCGCAGAAAACACATGGACCCAGTCAGAGATCAATATGATCAGACAAAAGCCATTTTTTACAAAGCCGTAACTCCTTTTATAGTATTTCTTACATGCACGTACAGTGATTTGGCATATTATGATTGGATACATGTCTTGAAGACCCTTAGTGACTAACATATAATTGGTTAAGCACAGGTGTGAGAACTTGACCTCCAAAGCTTGCCAACAGTGCACAGTTCTCATTAACTTGGTGAATTCCAGCTTCTTATCTTGCTTGTTCAGGCTTCCTCGGGCCTCTCATGGCCTTGCTGCATCTTTCAGGATTATTCAGAATTTATGTACCAATTATCCACTCTCCTGTGAGAACACTGCCTCCACATCTCCCCCTTTTTGTTTTATATATGGTTTGGGTGACCCTACTTGAGCAGGGGATTTGGGCTAGATCATATCTCCAATATATGACAACTACAGGCTGCTGGGCCTGCCCCTTTTTTCTGCTGTATGACTCTCTGGTAACAGGGGAGGCCATCCTTCACATCAAGGTCTGGCATGGCATGTGTCCCCACTGCCAACAGCGGAGCCCAAACAGCCCAAAAACAGGAAAAAAACACCCCAAAACCACGCCAGAACAACCCCAAAACCACCCTATCCTGCTTCTCCTATGGGATACAGGGTCAGAGCCCCAAACTAGCCCCAAAAGAGGCCACAAATATCCCAAATCCACCCCCAAAACACCCTAAAACCACCCCCAAAACCACCTTGTCCTGCTTCTATGCAATACAGAGTCAAAGCCCCGAAATAGCCCCGAAAAAGAACAAAAACACCCCAAACCACACCAAAACCACCTTGTCCTGCTTCTCCTATGCGACACAAGGTCAGAACCTCAAAACAGGACATAAACCAAAACCACCCCAAACCACCCTAAAACCACCTCAAAACCACCTTGCCCTGCTTCTCCTATGGGATATGGGGTCAGAGCCCCAAAACAGATCCAAAACACGCCAAAAACCACCCCAAGGCAACCTTGTCCTGCTTCTCCTATGGGACACAGAGTCAGAGCCAAAAAACAGCCCTAAAACAGGAAAAAAACAACCCAAAACCACCTTGTCCTGCTTCTCCTATGGGATACAGGGTAAGAGGCCCAAAATAGCCCCAAAACAGAGCAAAAACAGGCAAAAACCAGACCAAAACACCCAAAGCAAACCCCAAAACATGCCAAACCACCCCAAAACCACCTTGTCCTCCTTCTCCTGTGGGATACAGGGTCAGAGCCCCAAAACAGACCCAAAATAGCCCCAAAACAGGCCAAAACCAGGTGAAAACAAGGCCAAAACACCCCAAAACCACCTTGTCCTCCTTCTCCTATGGCATACAGGGTCAGAGCCACAAAACAGGACAAAAACAGGAGAAAAGCAGGCCAAAACACCCCAAACACCCCCAAAAATGGGCCAAAACCACCCGAAAATCACCTTGTCCTGCTTCTCCTATGGGACACAGGTCAGAGCCCCAAAACTGGACAAAACCAACCCAAAACCACCCCAAAACCACCTTGTCCTGTTTCTCCTGTGGGACACAAGTTCAGAACCCCAAAACAGGCTCAAAAAAGTACAAAACCAACCAAAAACTATTCAAAACCACCCCCAAAACAACCCCAAACCACCCGAAAACCACCAAAAAAACCACCTTGTTCTGCTTCTCCTGTGGGACACAGGGTCAGAGCCCCAAAACAGGCCAAAAAGAGGAAAAAACCACACCAAAACACCCAAAACCACCCGTAAAACAGCCCAAGCCAACCCCAAAACCACCTTGTCCTGATTCTCTTATGGGATACAGGGTCAGAGCCCCAAAACAGACCCAAAACACCCCAAAACCACCTTGGCCTGCTTCTCCTGTGGGATAGAATCACAGAATCATAGAATAATTAGGGTTGGAAAGGACCTGAGATCATCCAGTTCCAACCCCCTGCCATGGGCAGGGACACCTCACACTAAACCATATCACCCAAGGCCTTGTCCAACCTGGCCTTGAACACTGTCAGGGATGGAGCATTCACAACCTCCCTGGGAAACCCATTCCAGTGCCTCACCACCCTCACAGGAAAGAATTTCCTCCTTAGATCCAATCTAAACTTCCCCTGTTTAAGTTTTAACCCGTTACCCCTTGTCCTGTCAATACAGTCCCTAATGAAGAGTCCCTCCCCAGCATCCCTATAGGCCCCCTTCAGATACTGGAAGCTGCTATGAGGTCTCCACGCAGCCTTCTCTTCTCCAGGCTGAACAGCCCCAACTTCCTCAGCCTGTCTTCATACAGGAGGTGCTCCAGTCCCTGATCATCCTCGTGGCCTCCTCTGGACTTGTTCCAACAGTTCCATGTCCTTTTCATGTTGAGGACACCAGAACTGCACACAATGCTCCAGGTGAGGTCTCACAAGAGCAGAGCAGAGGGGCAGGATCACCTCCTTCGACCTGCTGGTCACGCTCCTTTTGATGCAGCCCAGGATACGGTTGGCTTTGTGGGCTGCAAGCGCACACTGAAGCCGGCTCATGTTCATTTTCTCATCAACCAACACCCCCAAGTCCTTCTCCTTGGGCTGCTCTGAATCTCTTCTCTGCCCAACCTGCAGCTGTGCCTGGGATTGCTCCCACCCAGGTGTAGGACCTTGCACTTGGCATGGTTAAACTCCATGAGGTTGGCATCAGCCCACCTCACAAGCGTGTCGAGGTCCCTCTGGATGGCATTCCTTCCCTCCAGGGTATCAACCGAACCACACAGCTCGGTGTCATCGGCAAACTTGCTGAGGGCGCGCTCAATCCCACTGTCCATGTCAGCGACGAAGATGTTGAACAAGACCGGTCCCGACACCGATCCCTGAGGGACCCCACTCGTTACTGGTCTCCAGCCGGACATTGAGCCATTGACCACAACTCTTTGTGTGCAGCCATCCAGCCAGTGGTCCATCCATCAAATTGATGTCTCTCCAATTTAGAGACAAGGATGTGTCGTGTGTGGGACAGGTGTCGACAGTGTCGAACGCTTTGCACAAGTCCAGGTAGATGCCATGTCCAGCAACAAATCACCACCGCTACTATCAGCTAAAACAATGATAAGGGAAAATAACAAGGGAAGAGAATACGATACCACCGGCCAAGAAAACGAGTTCCACCCGGAAGCCCCTGTCCTTCCGGGTAACTCCCAGTTACCCCTCACCCCGGGCATGACGTGCTGTGGTATGGAATACCTCCCCGGCTAGCCCGGGTCAGGCGCCCCGTCTCTGCTTCCTCACAGCCTCCCCTCCTCCCCGGCAGAGCATGAGCCTCACAAAGTCCTTGGCCAAACCAAAATATCCTTGTTATCAGCTCTGTTCCCGAGCTGAAAGTCAAAACACTGCACCGCACCAGTTAACACAAAGGAAAAACATGACTGCTACTGCGGAACCCAGGACAACCCCATAGGGTCCCTTGTCCCTGCAGCACCCTATGGGGTGGGATGATGCTCATCTATGGGACACCCCGTAGGGTCCCTTGTCCCTGCATCACCCAGTGGGGCGGGATGATGCCCGCCCTTCATCCCTAACCATCCAGTGTTGGGCTTCTGCTTCCAGAGGGACCTGCGGTACCCGTCCCATGGCTGATTCCTATGGGGTGTCGCGCATCGTCGGAGGCGTGGATGCGCACCAGGGCGCCTGGCCATGGATGGTCAGCATCCAGTTCCCCACGGCCACCGGCTTCTCGCACATCTGCGGGGGGTCCCTCATCACCCCGCAATGGGTCCTCACGGCCGCTCACTGCTTCGTCGGGCAAAAGTAAGGGGGAGAAGGGATTCCAGCTGTAGGGAATAGCCAAGGAGCAGCTCCCATCCTGTCCCCTTCCCCATCCTGGATGCACTGGGAAGAGCGCTCAGGAGAAGGCTGCTTCCAGCTTGACAGCCCTTGAGCCTAAGGCGTGCTGGGGCAGTGCTTTCCTTTGGGCAGCAGCAGGAATGTGGCTCCTTCCCATCCCTCCATAGAATGGGATGGGATGGAATGGAATGGATCATGGAATGGGTTGGGTGGGAAAGGAGCTTGGGATCATCACCCCTTGTCCTATGGCTCCAATCCCTGCTCTTCCACTCCCTCCCAGCTTCACCACGGATTGGTTCGTGATGGTCGGAATCACGGACCTGGCTTGGGCCAATTCCGAGACCCAGAAACGTTGGATCCAGAGGGTCGTGGTCCATGAATATTACACCAACATCTCCGGCGGCTTCGACATTGCCTTGGTGGAGCTGGACCAGCCGGTGCAGTGCGGGTACCACGTGCAGCTCGCCTGCCTGCCCGATGCGACGCTCAGCGTGTCCCAGCTCTCCGAGTGCTTCATCAGCGGATGGGGCGCGAGGGAGGCCAGAAGTGAGTGCCCGACGGCCCCGTTGGCCTTGGGATGCCGGGTCATGGATTCATGGAATGGGATGGAAGGGAGGGTAAAGCTCATCCAGGTCTATTGGATGTTGCTCCGACTGGGGATGGAGCATCCCGACCTTCTCCATGCAACCCATCCCAGTCTCCCACCACTTCCTTCTCTCCAACTTGAGCATCCCTGGTTCAGTTGGAACCCATCACCCCTTGTCCCATCGCTGAAGGTCCCTCCATGTCCTCCTTATGTTGAGGATGCAGAACAAAGGGGATGCAGCCCGTGCCATGGGGCGGTGTTGATGGCTCCCATTGATCTTTTCAGCCCCAAATACCCCCATATCCGTCCCTTCTCCCCGCAGTCCTGACCCCCTTTGTGTGCCCACAGCGGGGGCATCGTCCCCATCTGCCCTGCAGGAGGCCAAGGTCCGCCTCATCGATGCCAAGCTCTGCAACAGCAGCCTATGGTACCGAGGGGCCATCAAGAGCCACAACCTGTGTGCTGGGTACCCGCAGGGTGGCATCGACACCTGCCAGGTAGGGATGTGCCCCTGGGGCTCCCTTCTCCTCTCCCATCTGCAGGGCCTTGCTCTGCATCCCCCTTTATCCCAGCTTCGGAAGCGCATCCAGCTCCTGCTCCATCATCCCTGCTCAGGGACCATAGAGGTTGGAGCTTTAAGAGCACTGAGATTCCACCACTAAACCATGTCGTGAGCATGGATTCATGGAATGGGTTAGGTTGGGAAGGAGCTTAAAGCATCCGGTTCTAAGCAAGGGGCAAGGATGCCTTCCATTAGACCAGGTTGCTCCAAGCCCCATCCATCCTTCTCCATCCAACCCATCCCAGTGTCCCACCACCCTCATAGGGAACAATTTCTCCTTATCTCCAACCCATAGTCCCTCCCTCTCCCCTTCTCCTCCACAGGGTGACAGCAGTGGTCCCCTCAGGCGTTGCCATGGCCACCCCTCCCCATCCTCTCCCGTTCTCCT